ACAGCGATCAGGCCTGGCTGAAGCACACTGGGGGACAATGGTGCCATTTCTTGAGCACTGGGTTAAAAAACAATGAATTGGTTTGGGAATTATTGAGTTTGGATTCCTTGTTCCTTTGTATTTTCCTTTCTGTTACCTTAAGGCTAAAAAGTTAAATGCAAGCCAGGTGTGGTGGCTCAGGAGGCTAAGGCAGGAGGATTGCAAGTTCAAAGCCAGCCTCAGCAACTTAGCAAGGCCCTAAGCAACTTAGCAAGACCCTGTCTCAAAATAAAAAATAAAAAGGGCTGGGGATGTGGCTCAGTGGTTAAGTGCCCCTGGGTTCAATCCCAAGTACTGCCCCCTCTCAAAAAAATAAATAAATAAATAAAGGTAAGGCAATCTCTGTCTAGCTCATTTCGTTAACTTCATGCTTTTCAAACTCATTTTAAAATGATTTCCATTTCCTTTTGTTAATTCCTTGTCTAATGAGGTTGAATATTCCCACTGGACTACCCTACTTTTCTCTCCTGCCTCTTTCCTGTTGCTAAGATGGGTATAATAAAGCAATTTACCTGATTTACCCAGTGATCCCAGTGGTCTTCACACAAATGCAAAAATAAGGGCTTGTAAAAATAAAATACAAAATTGCCATGTTTTTTCCTGCACTTCTAAGGAGACTTCCTTCTCAGGCTAGAAGAATGTGGTCAGGCATGGTGGAAACTAACAGTCTAGACAACTGTTTTTAGAGCATGAAAAAAAAAATGAGAGGTGATGAAAGACAAGCTCCTCCTTTCCTTAGAAAGGCAAGCGAAGAGCAGCCTTGGTGGAGAGATGCTGTTCTGCTCAGGAAACCTGCTCTCCACAGCTGTTTGTAGCTGGGACAGGACCTTGGCACTCTGGCTGCACTGAATCCACTGAGCACACTGACTGAACCCAGACTATGCTTTTCATTCATGGCATTTTTTCAATCAGCTAAGGGTTTTCCCTTTTATTTCAAGATCCCAGAATAATTCCTTGGTGTCACAAAAAAAAAAAAAAAAAAAAAAAACACCAGCAAAAGGATCTTCTACCCCACTATATACGATAGAGTAGATGCCACCTCTTGGCAAAATGGGAAGATGTGACACTGTCGTGTTCCCGATTTCACTTTGGCCCCTTTTCCTAAACAAAGGAGTCCAAAAGCGGAGAGGGCTCTTATGTTCCCCCTTCCAAAGTGGGCAAAGACCTTGGTCAAACAGGAAGGTTTTATCAATCAAATTTGTTTTCAGGCCCAGTGTATTTTAATAGAGAAGTTTGATTTTTTTTTAAATTATCATAAAGGAATGATCCACTAATACACTAGTATTGGAGTATTTGTATAGGATAGTGAAATAAAAACTACTAGGAAGCAAACGGACTTTCCCTTTACCTCAGCAAAATTTCTAAGTGGAATTTGGTACTGGGACCCTGGCACTGACCTTGTACAGTTTATGCCAATAGCTCATATGAAGAAGGGAATTAAATAAGTCGTCAATTTTATCATTGTTAAAGTCAGGCTATCTAACCACTCAGAGACGTTTGCAACCCTGCTGACCCTGCATAATATTTAGAGAAGCCAAAGAATGGCAAAGCGTGAGGCTTTCACTCTAAGGGAAAAGCAGACAGTATGAGAAGAAAGAAAAACAAAACATTATTTTTACAAGATGTTAAAAGAATTAGCTTGCCAGATTTAAAAAATGCAAAATGATTAAATTAGAAAACCATAAAATTATTAAGGTTATAATAGTCTGTCAATAATAGAGAAAATAACAATTTTCTCATATAGCTATCAAATCTACAGTTATTTCATATTAGTTCTTCCTAGAAAATTGGTACATTAAAGGAATCAGGTTTCATTTCTTTTGGCAACCCATACCAGAGAGAATGACTCATTTTGATTATTTGTTCATCTCATGTGCAAAGTAATTTGTTTCTGTCTGTGTACTAAGGTRTACCTATAAATTTATAAATTCATATGTGATGTGCATAAAAATTCATAGAGTAGGGTTTTAGCTTGGATTCCCAGCAAAGAAATAACACTCTGTCTGAAGAGAGGCAAATTCTGGGAAGACCAGGAATGATGGCACCTAGAGTTTCAAAGCTCAGGTCCTATACCCAGAGTAGTCTGGCCTAACGGGTTACACTGAATTTCTCTGTCCCATCAGCTAAGTTGATCCTTCTCTCATGGGATCACAACTGAGCGGTATAAACAAGAATCTGGATGCCTTGCCTAAGAGGGCTGATGTGTACTCAGGTGGTTTTATTCTGACACCTGCTCAGATTCAGAGATCTTGGGATTGACTGATAACCTTTGGAGATACCAAAGACAGTGCTCATGCTGCAGGCAAAAKGAGGAATGCTCAGGAGCAAATGCACATCCCATCGTCCACAATTTTAATAAAAGGATGGAGGGTCGTTTCTCSGGAGGATGGAGAGTCAGGAAAAGAACAAGAAGCATCTCTTAGGATAAGATCACATTCACAGTGAAATCATGCTCCTCGTAGCTTCAGATCACTTCGCTCCCATCTTTCCATGCCTCTACATTCAGTATGTATGACTAACTAGCTGCGTATAGCTGCCTGAAATGTAAACATTTATCATAAATGGCCTCCCAGATTGATGGTTATCAATGTGAAGCTATTTAAATGATTGCTCTGAAAAAAAAAAAAAAAGCATGCTGATGTTAACAGGGATATAAAATGGCATGAGCCCTAAAGAGAGGACTGTGGCAGTAACTAACAGAACTGTATATACATGCAATTCACCCTTGGGGCCAGCAATTTCACTTCTAGGAATTTGTCTTCCAGATACATGTTCACATATTCAGGGGAAATGGAAGTTGTTCAATGTTTCATTGTCAGTTATAGCAAAATGAAAGATAACCAAAATGCCTATTTACATGAAAAGAGTAGAATAAACTGTGGTATATCCACACAACAAATTTTCACAAAGTAATAAAAAAGAATGAGAAACATCTGTGAATTGAAATGAACTGAAATTTCCAGGACATATATTTAAGTAGGAAAAAAAGTCAAAGTGCAGAAAAGTGTTTGTAGAGTGTTTGCTACCTTTTGTGTAGAAAGGGGACAGAACTAGATACCACAAATTTGCTGTTTGTGTATAAACAAAAATAAAAATAAAAAGAGCAGATAGAAGCTAATAAAAATGTCTATCCACTGAGCAGACATGGAAATTAGTGAAAAGTTGAGGAATTTTTTTTAATATAATTTGAGTTATGAAAATKTTCTACATATTGAAAAATAAAGCCAAATTAAAAAGATAGACAAACGAACCCTAAAATTGAATACAAAGAAAAACATATTAATCTAATTCTATATTAACTTGATAATATAGCCATGAACAAAGAGAAATCAATTCAAGTACTTTTGGAAATAGTGTTTTAAATATAAATCTTAGTGGGACCAATCTAAGAGGAAGAAAAATGTGAAGAAATGTTAAACATTACCTAATAGGTTTATTGTTAGGTGTAATATTGCTTTAAATTCTGAAACTCTTTAGTTTATAATACAGAATGAAAGATAATTTAATATACTACTATAAAGTATCCAGATTTTCACTGTGAGAGAAAAATAAATATAAATGTAATATTTTAAAAGCTAAGTAAAAGCTTTGTGATATCAGTATTAGATAATATTATATAATTTTAGAATATTTCCTAACTTCATCTATTACAGAGGCCTAGAGACAATAACACCCCAGTAGTAAGAAACATGCAAAGTAYTTGAATTTTTGGTTTTAGATACCTTTCTGTAATAAAAGAAACTGAGTCTTGAATAAATATTTAATTTCAGACCACAGGCAGAAAAAAAAAATAAGGTGAGCCTGAGAATATCTTATTGGTTCAGAAAGAAAAGAAGAGCTCAAAGATTAATGGGGTGATATCAAAAGGACAGAGGAGTGTACTTAAAGGGGCATCCTTTGGTCAAATTTGATGTAATTAGAGCATTAAAAAGTATAAATACAGTAAAAGATCATAACCCATTAAATTTAAAAATAACCCATGAGTACATTATGATACTCAAAGGGGCAGGAAAGAGAAGGTAAGTTCTTTTGAGAAAAATTCCAGTCAACAAATACTATTAGCCATTTTGTCATCTTGAATAACTTATTATCTAGGTAAATAGTTATCTCCAATAATTTATCTAAGTAAATACCATCAGTGGATGCTAAAATTGGAAGGTAGAATTATGGGGAAATGAAATATTCACACAGTTGAAAAATATCACTCATGCATTACTTACTAAATATAAAGGGGAAAACATAACTTCAACATAAAAAGACCTAATGATCATCACCTTAACAAAGGAATTCACTTAGCCTTAATACTAGTGTTTCAACCTGGCATTATGTATCATCAGATTTGATGCATTCCATACTCAATTTCTYCTGTACATTGATCTTTCCATAAATGTTTAATTAAATCTCAGTTCAAGAAAACAATTAAACACATCCAAAATGTTGGACTTTCTATGATACAACTATCCTGAATCCTTTAAGAAAAAAGTTAGTATCATGAAAAATAATATTTAGAAGTGGGGGAACTATTCTAACTTAAAAGAAATTAAAGATTCAAAAGCAGCCAATTGTGCTGCTTTTGGGTTGGCTTTTTGGGGAAAATAAAGATGTGATAATAAAATTATGATTTCTTTAAAAAATGTCCTTAATTTTAGTAAGGTCATGTTAAAATACTTAGTGATGAAGTGTTATGCTGTGTGCAACTTTCAAATAATCTGGAGAGGAAATAAGAAAGTGCAAGTGTAGCAAATTAATCTAGAAAAATTGTTTTGAAAGCTTATTGCACTATTTTTCTAACATTTTTGCAAAACATTGTTTGAAAAATCAAATAAAAGGATTGAAGAAAAATAAAATAAGTATTGGCCTTGAAATTGCAGCCTTATTATTTGGAGAAAGTGCTATTATTAATGAATATACAATGGAAATCAAAGATAGTAAATACAACTTCGAGTTTTTTTTTTCCTTTACATCAGCTGGGTTATGTGCCAACATTACCATAATGAAGTTCAGAGGAAGCACTTTCACACAGTAAGTGTGAACACCCCATCATCATGCTTATGAGCCCCCAGAGAATCTAACTTTAGGATTTCATGCACCATGTTAGATATTTAGCATCCTTTCTGACTTGCTCATACATACTCACCTCAGAACCAACATGCCCCTTTTTGCAGCCACTGTGGATACCAGGAAATTCATCAAACCATCTTGTCTTGGTGGAATATGTGGAGGTCTCCACTAGAATTTTTCTTCAGTCATGAGCAGAAAAGAGGTGGATCTGTTCCCTTCTGGTGCTAGTTTTGACTTTCATGTCCATGAAAATTAAGAAGATTCTGTCAAATATTCACCAGGTAAGTGTGGTKGGGAGAGCAGATAGGATACTGGGCTTTCTACTCACAGGAGAATTCAGAAGCCAAATGCCTCAGGGTCTAGGGATGTCTTTGACGCTCTTAAGGAAATGTCCCTGATATTTTTAAGGCATTATTAGTATACTTTACAATCTAGTCCTTAATTCTCTAGAAATGTTTTCTTATGTTGATGGATCAAAACTGTGCCTCTTCCAGGTGCTTCAATGGGGCTATTAAATGTTTTCCTCTTATCTCCATGAAAAGAATAAATGSCCAAACTGTAGGCTTGGGTATAGGGAGGGAAGGAATAGAGAGATCCCTCTCTTAGTGGCAGGTTCTAAATTGCATAGCTAAGGTCAGTGTTGTGGGAGGGAGGGGCCAAGAAAGAGAAGAAAGCTCCCCCCTAGTTGGTGATGTTTACTCTCTTTCTCTCCAAGACCCCAGGCTAGATTCTTCTGTCCAATGATTGGTTCTTAGAAAAAAAATCATCAAAAGAGAATTCATTCTTAAAAGAGGATCATGTATTAAATTATGGGAAAATCTTATCGAATTCCTGACCCTAGAATATAACCATGAGTTTATTTTACAAAATTTAAGGATAAATTGTATTAGTTTGGATGGTGATTCTTTGAAATTAGCACAAAAGAACCCCCTTCCACTGTTTGATTTGCAGTAAAATTGTAGAAATATTTTTTGCAAAAAGATTCAAAGACTCATCAATTTTCTCAAGGTCTTTCTTAATTCCTTGGTGCTTGAATGTTCCTTCTTTGAAAACGTCTATCCTATCATGGTCTTTGTTGATATTTATGAGATAGAAATTTATAGATACAGAGAGCACACTGAGTCCCTAAAGGAAAAATATCCTTGTTAACAACTCCTAGACTGCTCTTGAGCAGGACAAAGGAGTTTAAGGGACAAAAAAGGCAGCGGTAATGAGAAGCTAAACAGACTCCAAATTAATTTGTAATTTTCCAGTTCCCTGTAAATTTTCAATTATGTAGCAAAATGGGGGAAAGACCTCAATAAGGAGAAACCATTAGCTTCATGAGACTATGAATTARTATTTGATTGGGCCGTGACTGTCTGGCCTATCACCTGACCGTTGATATAATCTAAAAACTACCTACCAGCCACACCCCCTGATGGGGAAACTCAGACTTGCTCAATATTTCCCAGCCACAAGAATGCCCAGCCCTTTTGGATCATGCATATTCCAGCTAATTTTGTGCCCTAATTGAAACACAACCTTAAGCCTTGGCAGTGTGTCTCACCTTTGCCATTAACCTGCCTTCTGTTCTAAGAGTGTGTACCTTCACTTTCTGTAATAAACTTTCTTCTTTGCTACTAAGATTTGACTTGTCCTTAAATTGTTTTCTGCCACAGAGTCAAGAACTTTGAAGGTTCAAGTAAAGGTCTCCTCCAGACCTCCTGGGACCCCCACAAGGTAACATTTCTACTCTATATGAACTTAGTTTGAATCTGAAAAAGTCTTTTTTATTTAATTTAAACATACCTTTGACTTTTTTTTTTTACATACATGATACAGTCTGCAAGATCTGCTATTTCAATTTACAGTTGGCATCACACTTGCATTGTCATTGGTTGTAACAATACTGAACCCTGTACAAGAAAGTGAACCGTGAAAGTTGTAATGTACTCGTGGTTATAGATACCAGAATAAGTAAGGGTTGGGCTTAAAGGCAGACTAGTATTTCAAATGACAGTTCATTATTGAGTGTTTTTACTATATATTTGTTTCTTAAGGTAATCTATAAGCTTAGGGTCTCTACGATAATGGGTATTCTGGAAACACAAATCCTTCCCATAGAAGTTATCCAAAGTACTTGCATGAAGACACGAATACTTTATATACAACCAGAGATATGAAAAATTGTGCTGTATATGTGAAATAAGAATTAAATGCATTCTGCTGTCATTTATATTTTTAAAAAAWYMAWWAAWTTTTTTTWWAAAAGAAGTAAGTTCTCAGTAAGGGAAAAAAATCAAAAATATATCTGAGCTTAAATTTTTACAGCACACAGAATTATCACTAAAGAATCAAGGAGTAGGTGAAGATTCTAGAGAACCAATGATGGCTAATGAAAATTAAGAATTGGAATTCCTTGAAGCTATCACTAGTGCTCACTTCTACCTACTGTGACCAGTAATTATAATGTGCTCTCTTTCACCTTTCAAATTTCCAATCATTGCTTCCTGGATATAATAYACACCAGAACTCCAACAGTTAATGTATTGGAGAAATGTAGCTTTCCAGCACATAGAATATGYGAAAGAGCTGAGAAAGGCAGGTATGGAGCTAGATAACAACAGATAATATTCAATAATAAATATGTATATACATACATATGCTAAATCCCAACARGACATTTTGTGAAAATGATCAAGTTGGTCATAAAATTTATTTAGAAAGGCAAAGGAAGTAGAAGGGCCAAAAYGATTTTGAAAAAGAACAAAGTGAGAGAACTCACATTCCCTGTTTTCAAGACTTACTGTACTATATTAGATAGTAACTGTAACAAAATGATATGTGGATCATGGGACAGAAGTAAGAGTTCCAGAATGKAACCATGTAGACAACTGATTTCAACAGAGGTGCAAACTCAATGGAGARAGGATGATCTCTTCAACAAATGGCACTAGACACGTCCAAGTTTATAGCAGCACAATTCACAGTAGCCGATCTACGGAGCTAACTTAGGTGCCCTTCAACAGATGAATGGATAAAGAAAATGTGGTACATATACACAATGGATTATTACTCAGCCATAAAGAATGACTTTACGGTGTTTKCCAATAAACAGATCAAACTGGGGACTATCATGCTAAGTGAAATAAGCCAGTCTCAAAAAGKCAAAGGTAGAATGTTTACTCTAATATGCGGAAGTTAATCCAAAATAAGGGGGAGGGGGTTTTAAAAAAGGATAAAAGAAAGAGCTGTGGAACAGACAAAGGGAAAGGGAAAGGAAGAAGGATGAGGTAGGGACTGACAGTGGAAAGAATCTCAGGTAACTTTCCTATGTACATATATGAATACCTCACCATCGTGTACATCCAAAAGACAATAAGTTTCTAAAAAAYTATAAATAAACAAAAGAAAGTTCAGTAGAGAAAAGAGAGAGGAGGAGGGAGAAGGGGAGGGGGAAGTGTTAGTACTGGGACTGAATTAGAACAAATTATATTCCATGCTTTTATAATTATGTCAAATTGAATCCTATTGTCATATATAACTAAAAAGAACCAATAATTTTTTTAAGTGGCACTAGAACAATTTAACACTAAGGAAAAGAAAGAGAGCAGAGAGGGATGGAGAAAGAAAAGGACCTTGGGTTTAACTTTGTATATACAAAAATTTACTCAAAAATGTATCATAGAACTAGATATAAAGGTTCTATGAGTGAATATAGGRTAATTTTTTGTGACCTTTGGCTCCAAAAAAATTGTATGACACTAAAAGCACAAGCTATAAAACAAAATATTCATAAAATTATATTTCATTGGATTTCAAAACTTCTCTTTAAAGGAAACAAAAATGAAAACCCATGCCAGGTAGGAAGGAAATATTTTCAAAACACATATTAGTACTTGAGTCCAGAATGTATAAAGAACTTAATAGTAAGAAAACAGTGCAATTTGTGGGGGGAGGAAACCGGGGATTGAACTCAGGGGCACTCCACCACTGAGCCACATCCCCAGCCCTATTTTGTATTTTATTTAGAGACAGGGTCTCACTGAGTTGCTTAGCGCCTCACGGTTGCTGAGGGTGGCTTTGAAATTCCCAAACTGCTGGGATTATAGGCATGTGCCACCACACCTGGCAAAAACAGCTTCATTTTTAAGTGATTAAAAATTGCACAAACTTATCATCAAACTTTGGAAATTACAGACATGTGAAGTTGAAAGCAGAATTCACCTGTAATTCTACTACTTAGAGAAAATTACTGTTAAATAAATTTTAAAGGGCATATTCTTCCAGGTTTTCATGAATAAATATGTCATTTCTTTTATATTTTACATTGTGTTGTAACCTACTTTTTTATTAAACAATATGTATAATTCTGAGTATTTCTGTGCATTCCTTGTTATTTGCAAACATGATTTTCTGTAGCAATGAATGGAGAAGTCAAAACTTACTAATCTCAATTTATTTAGTAGGTCATTTATAGTATATCCGATTTTATAAAATTTATAAATCACAGTATGATGAACTTCACATTTCAATCTCTTTAGGATTTTGTGTTTATCACATTAATTTTTTTCAAAAATTGCATACATATGAATAAACTTTGTCTTAATATATGAGAAACTCTTAACTCACTACATTCAATGAGTTTTGTATTTTTGTAGCTGAAATCCCACAAGCRAGGTTGTACAGATTTCCAGAGATGGAGTTGATTGAGTGCTACCAACACCTCCAGYTGAGGGACAAGGAGAGATGCAAATTTGTAGAACTGATAGTGATATGTTTAAGAAATGGAGAGAGTTCTAGAATAGCCAAGGGTGGGGGGCGGCAGGGACACAGATACACACACACACACACATGCACACACACACACACACACACACACACACACACACGCATGCACACATTTGAAACTTCCTGTCTTTCATAATCACAGAAAAGAATAATGGCATCTGAGAATTTTGTTTTCCACGTCTACCCTGTAGCACTTCTCAGAACAGCTTCCCTTCCTTGATGTTTTTATTTGTT